TTAAAATTCCAGACCTTGTATGTCAGGTTTGCTCAGTGTAATGTAGGTTTTTTAAGGCTCAAATACCATACCTCAGCAAATGGGGTTTACTATGGAAATACAGAAACAGTCTTTGCGGCTGTGTGACCAGTCACTGGGCTGCATACTGATTTGGAAACCTCCACTAAACAGTTTTACCACTGCAGACTAAAATGTGGGACTTGTATTTTCTTTGTTTTTAATGCACATACATACATACTTCATGTGTGTATGTGGGTACTGTGTATATGTGTGTGAGTGTTGTATATGCATGTGTGAATGTGTGTGTGTGTACAAGTAAAGAAGCTGCAGAAACTTTGTAATACTTTGTGAAAGGGTTATATTATAAAGGTTTGTACTGTCTGAGTGCACAGCTACTGGAATAAATTTAGGAAATCTCAGGAACAAGCATATAATTTGTCCAAGATTTATTTCTTCTCAGAAGTGTAAGTGCAGTTTTTAATTCTGTATATTATTTAATATTTTACCAATAAAATAAACTTCTGACAGAAAATGTTTGCTACAAAAACTTCTGGTGAAAATTCTGTACACAAATACACTTCACAAACACTGAAGATGAAACTGTTGGATATACCAGGCGAGTTGGTTGTTGCTGTTGTGTGTATGTGTCACAGTTCCTGTCCCAAAGCCTGTGACCTCAGCTGTCCTCATCTTCATCTTAGCAAACCCCATCCCTATGTAGAGTCTATTATAGCAGAGAACATAATATCACATGGTTGGTGAAGGATGACATCTCTGTACTACAGTTTTCATGCAATCCTGTTTTCCTGTTTTATCTTTTAAAAAAAATCTGAGCAGTCCCTATGTCAGAGCCAAACCTCTTTTACTGAAGAAACACAACCTAAGGAAAGGACAGTGTAGCTTGTTCCAGAGTTTCCATTGAATGACACAAGCGTGATCATGTTAGAGACACCATTTCTTAGACGTTGGAGGAGGATGGAATCAAGTGGCATTGGTATACATTTGATTGTGGCGCTGCTTCCTGCAGCTCTGCCGCCATGAGTTTGTAAACTGCCCCTGCCTCACTTTCCACAGGGGCTTTATCTCTTCCATGAGAGGTTTGTCCTATTACAAAAATATTCCCAACCAGAAACCTGAGCGGCACCTATGACTTCAGATTCATTTTACTTAGCTAACTTCACTTCTATACATCACATATCAAAAGAGTACATACATATTCTAATGCAGGTTTATATCCTTGACCATCCTTCAAATATAAGATGAGGAGAGGTGACAAAAGGGTCAAGAACTATGAGCTCGATGAGTTACAACTAGCACCTTGTAGCAAGGGCCTGTCTTCACTGGCAGAAACGCCAGATTCTAATTTTTGCTTTTAACAACAGCCAAATGAAAAAAAATATTTGATATGCTTTATGTTCTCGACTTTCACTTCAATGCAGTTGAAGCAAAATGAGATTTTTTAAAAGTTTCATTTATT